CTTCTACTCCTTCAGAGACCAAATGAGCAGATTCTCCCTTTCAGAGTTGAGCCTGAAAAGAAAAGAAACACACATAATCTCTGTCTTTGGATCTTGTGGCAGAAACAATTTCTCCCAGTGTTGAATGGAAAATGAGGTATTTTCCCCATAATAACAAAACCAGAACAACAGTAATAATGATGATGATCGGGATCCCTGGGTGGCGCAGCGGTTTGGCGCCTGCCTTTGGCCCAGGGCGCGATCCTGGAGACCCGGGATCGAATCCCACATCAGGCTCCCGGTGCATGGAGCCTGCTTCTCCCTCTGCCTGTGTCTCTGCCTCTCTCTCTCTCTCTCTCTCTCTCTCTCTCTCTCTCTGTATGACTATCATAAATTAAAAAAAAATAATAATGATGATGATCCTTGGAGGACCTTTCGGCTATGTGTTGCTTGCTTATACTCATTCACTGCTAAAAAATAATAATATGAATGTTTATCCTAAAAGCACATGAAAAATCTAGGTATCTTTTATTGCTGTGCTGTTTTAGTATCTGTTCTTGCCTCATTTTATTCATTTTACTCCCAAAAATATATGTTTGGTGCCTACTATATGTACTCACCATTTGAGGCGATAGGGATACAACAAAAAAGACAAAACTCTCTGTTTTCTTGGAGATCATATTCTAGTACAGTTAGAAGGGCAATAAATAAGACAAGAAAAGGTGAAACATTGAGGGGGTGATAAATGCTATAAAGAAAAAGCATGGAAGGATAGGAAGTGGTGGTGATATTGCAATGCAGAGAGTGTGGCCTTTGAGTAGAGATGAGAAGGACAGAGGAATAAGCCATGGAAGTGTCTGAGGGAAGACTCCCTCAGGAGGAGGGAACAACATATGCAAAGACACTGAATCAGGGACAAAGAAGAAATCACATAGCTGGGTGGAATCTGAAGAACAAGGGAGAATGTACTCAGAACATGAGGTCAGAAAGGTCACAGGGAGCCCATGACCAGTTTGTCCATTGCAAGGACTTGAGCTTCACGGGAAGGTGACCAATCACAGGAGAGATAAGACCTGCCTTGTGTTTTAGAAGGGTCACTCCGTCAGCTGTGTTGAGAATGGATTGAAAGGGAGCATGGGTAAAAACAAAGAGGCCAGACAAGAAATAGTTGCAGTAACCCATGGGAGAGACTGGGAGTATGGTCCAAAGTGGTGGGAGTGGAGGGATAAGTCAAACTGTCATTACATTTTGAGACTTGTTGACAAATTGGATGTGTGTGGGGTGTATGAGAGACAGAGGGAGAAGAGAAAGGAAGGGGAAAAGACATTAAGGATCAATAGGAGATTTTTACCCTGAGCAACTAAAGAATGGGTTGCCATTAACTGGGATGTAAAACAGTTATGGAAAGATCTTTGTAAGGTCAGTTTTTCAGTTTTTGACATGTTACATTAGACAATGAACCTTGTGATCCTGGAGTTCAAGAAGAAGCTCTGGATTGAAGATTTAAGTTTGGAATTTATCAGCATATACTTACATCCATGCCATGAGACAAAAGAGGTGTCCAAAACAAATTTAGACATATTCCATATTTTTAGAGATGGGCAGGAATAAGGAGGAGGACATTAATGGTGGGCTTGGAGAGTTGGAAGATGTCCAGGAAGCAAATGAAGAAAATAATTTAAGGAAGAGGCCGTGATCAACTGTGTTCTGAAATGACTTGGGATTTAGCCAGAGAAATGACTTGGGATTTAGCTACCTGAGGATTGGTTTTGATCTTGATAAGAACAGTTTCCATGGACCAGAAGAGTAAGAGCCTGACTAGCAAGAATGGTAGTAGGGAAACTGGAAATTGCTCTGTGGACAGCTCTTTCAGATTCTGCTCTCAAGGAAAGTTGAGGAAATCACATTGTATCTGTGGGGGTCCTGACAAGGTTTTCAAGCTCTACTTATTGTTTGTTTTTATCTTTGTTTTGAGTGGGAGAATGAAGAGTATCTTTGTAGACTAACCTTCTTGTGTCTATCTGGGGGTAAGATACCTAAATACTGACAGAGATCTGTGTAGACAGAAGTTTTGGTTGGAAATAATGGCTGTGTGAAAAGATCTTGGATTTTTGGGGTCTTTGGGAAATATCGGTGTCGCACAGCATGACCTGAGAATATTGACCTTACAGAAGGCGAACAGAGGGGTCGCCAAAAGATGGGTGGGACAGTAGAAGAGGAAGACATCCAAATGAAATATTGCCTGTTTGCATTTTGCGTAGTGTTTAGGTTGCTACAGTTGCTGCGATGTCAGTGAAAAATCTTCCGCATGCCATAGACGTTCAGTCTAGGTGAAACCTTAACAACAGAAAACTTTAAATAGAATTCCTTCTTTCGTGTCCATCTCCTCTCTGTGGGAAAGGTAATTTTTAAGGAGTTTAAGGTCAGGGAGGAGAGGCCATTTTCATGCAATGGACACCTTAGAAATCAGCTTGCTTTCTGCTGAGGGACTAGAAGAGTGGTTTATGTGAATTAATGCTCCTCTGCAACATCGTCTGCTGGAAACTCTGCTGTCCAGTAATGTAGATGTTCTGATAAGTCATCTAGCTAATAAGCACCTACAATGTGTACAGTTTAAATAGATTGTCATTACTGAGGCAAGTGTAAGTGTGCACATTGTGGATGTTGAGATGAAGAGTGCGTGGACAGTCGCTTATCAGCCAGCCCCAGTGGAGCCAATGACTTCATTTGGGTACCACAGATTCAGGAACTGAACCTCTTCTTTCCAGGAATAGAGACTCATTTACATCACTTCTCTTTTTGGAAAACAGTCACATTATGGTCTGGAACCCTGGGTCGGAAATTTAAAAGGACTAGATTTTAGTACCTATTATTATTTCGTCTACCCTTTTGAGGTCGAAACAAAATCTCTGAACTCTTACGTTCTCTCGTTTGATAAATAGGTGTACCATTGTTATTACATATGCTGTAAACTAGAATGGATATAATAGTATGGAAAACAGTAAAATATTTTAAGGAGGAAAAATTACATAACAAAGATAGATAATGATTTATCTTATGAATTTTCAGTTTTAAGATTCTATATTATGCTCCAGATTGATATTCTGTTTTCTCTTTCTCCCAGTATTTAAGGCACATTACGTATACTAGCAGTTAAGGATGTAGCAAGAGGGAAAAGTAAGGTTTTAGTCTTATTTACACAAAATTGTTCATAGAACCGGTATAGTAAGCCACTTTGCCTCGCTGATTGACAATTAAAATAAATGTTTCTAAGATGTGTTAGATTTCACCAGTATGCAAAACTGAAATTATAATTATGTCACACAAATAGTGGTGAAAATAACACTTCTAGCACATGTTAAAAGTTGATTTTATTTTTCTTTTCTCTCTCTTTTTTTTTTAAGTTTTTATTTGAGAGAGAGAGTATGAGAGAGCGTGAGCATGGGGGAGGCGGAGGGGTAGAGAGAGAGAGGGAGAAGCAGAGTCCCCACTAAGCAGGGAGCATAATGTGAGACTTGGTCCCAGTGTTCTGGGATCATGACCTGAGCTGAAGGCAGACACAACCAACATAGCCACCCAGGCTCCCCTGTTTTCCTGTTCAAGATTTAAAGTGTTAAACTCTTCACTTTGACCAGACGATTAGAAAGATACATCTACTGATTATTTTTATACTAGAATAATCTTTCATTATTAATCTATTTAAGTTTTCTCTCAAATCAGTTCATCAGTGCTACCAATTAAAAATAGAAATGTATGTGCTCAATTTCAAGAATTAAAAATAATGCCTTGGGAGTAGCATTTCTTTCCTGTGGTAAGAGGATTGTTGGATTTTCCAATTAAAGAAGTCTCCATACTGGAAATGAGTAGTCAATTATGAAAATTATTTTTGAATAGTCAATTTGCATATCCCTAATTGTATTCATTTCTTTTGAAAGACTGAACTTGGAATTTATGATGTTTTGATTGATTACTCCTGCATTTGTGTTATTAATACTATTGCTAACAAGGCTCCCCTATGAATGGGCCTTGGAGTGCCTTTTCTGAATAAATGTTTGAATCACAAGTAGGTTTGTTTTATTTAATGAATGAAAAATATCTAAAGATTTACTAGCAGCTTTCAAATTTGCACACACTGTACTTTATTGGGTTGATAGTAGCATCCCCTCACTGCCTACTACATGCACATTTGGACTTTTCCACACCACCTGATGAGAAGTGTGTGAAGTTGCTCTATGGTGGTGCTGTCTGCCGGCCAAAAGTACAGCTTCAGCAGGACTGTCCTGTTTATACAGCAATCTTCATGCAATGAATACTTTATTACATTTTGCCCTTTATGAAAAATTACTTGGAAATGGACAATTAAATGTTTTTATATTAATGACAAGAAACAGTTCTCATATGAAATAAAATTGAGATGAAGATGGGAATAATTTGGTTAAAAGTGCTGATGTTTAGTCTCATTGGACTTGACGTTCATTGGACTTAAACCAGTCAACATAGTGTCATGAATGAAGAGAACAAAATTAAAGGGATGTATAAAAAGGGGATATTTATGTGCACAAAGTGAACACATTGTGTGGAAATATACACATTTATTTGTTGTGATCGTGTCTAAAAGGACAGCCATAATTATAGATTTTACCATATCTTCGCTCTCTGAGGCTGGAATGGCCTCTTTCACTATGTAGATCTATTGTTCAGCTTTTGCATATTCAACTTTTATTTCTGGAAACCTTCTTTAAAAATCCTAAGGTCCTTTTTGGCATATTGGAAAAGGCGGCGAGGGGAGGGGCAGCCGTTTCCTTCCTAAAAGAGAGCCAAAATCAGTTCTTTATTTCAAGAATAGACAAACCATGAATTAAATCCTGAGCACCTGCTTTTTGCATTGAGAGGTTTGGTATGGTACAAGTTCTCAGAAGCTATTTTCTTTAAAATCAAATTAAAATCACAATCCGCTGGATATAGTGTTGTGTGATACGCATGCCATTCAAAGTAATTAGTGTTGTTGGTTTTGTTTGTAGCTGATTGCTGTGTTTGATGAACAAGAACCACTCCACAAGATGGAGAGCCCCAGTGGAAACTCTGCAGGTCGGCAGAGCCCAGATGCCTTTGAGACGGAAGTGGCTGCCCAGTTGGCTGCATTTAAACCAATTGGTGGGGAAATTGAAGTAACCCCTTCTGCTCTGAAATTAGGTATGTGTATTTTCACTGGTATGTTCTTCACCTGGTTGAAATACACCATCTTGCTGGCTATAAGTTGCTTCTACTATTTGAATTATCCTCTTAGTATCTTTCCTTAAAATTCTGGTTTGTCTTCACTTAAAATTATTTTTACGTAGCAATTTGTAGCTGCTGATGCTCTGACAAGGGGATGCAGTTTTTTCTTGAATTGCAGGTGCATCTGAATTGTGTACTCTTGAAGTACCCTACAGGACAGGCTGGTCTGTAAGTGATGGGGTTTATCTGTAGCCCAAGAAGATGACTTAAAAAGCATCTCTCAAAAGTGTCATGTGGTGAAAGCTAAGATTTATCAAGGAATTCAGACTAGAAATAAAGGTCACTCACCTTCTGTTTCAGCCACCTTCTTTTTCTCCTCAAACTATGTCGCTTAGACTTTGGGGAAAACCTTTGAAGTTAGTCTTTTAATTCTGTCCTGCTGATTTATTCAAACAAGAACAACACACCCAGTAATTTTGTTTGGATTTCTTTATTTTTGTTTTGAGGGCATTGGGAGAAAAATAAACATTCTTCTAAAGTTTCCATGAATTTACATCTCCAAGAGCAATGTCAGTTTTGGGTTGATACCTCTTAGAGATAAATTTAGGTCAGTTTAACAGCATGAAGCTTTTGAAAATCCACTAACATTTTGGTACTTAAAACAAACTTTCATTCCTGTTGAATGTATGCATATGTTTTGAGACTCCTCTGAGCACCTGTTATATAGGTTAATTCTCAAGGTAGAAGAACAGAGGCTTTTACTACTCTGCAAGGGGAATCTTTTCCTTGCAAAGCAAAGTATATGCTTAAAATTGTAGAAGTCCTCCTACAGAAGACTCATTTTTCCCATTTGAAACAAAACGTTTACTGGAGAGTTTATTTTACATACCACACTACTGAATATCCATATTTGGTACTAGTTTTCTGGAAAGCATCTGTGGTGCCGCTTTTTATAACAAACCAAGTGGAAATTAATGACCTCTAATCTTCATGATTCTCCTCTATCCTTTGGAAACCCAGCTCGTGAAGCGGTGTTCTGGAATGTGGAAGGCAGAGGGCTCGGTGGCAGCTTCTCTCCATCCACAGCGAGGTTTGTGGCTCCCGCAACCTCACCGCCCTATCATTCATTTGCATAATGGATGCCTTTTTATCCATTATGCAAATGGTATGGGAGGGAAATTAGGCAATAAGGGAAGACGAAAGGAGAAAATTGCTCTTGCTTGTTTTAATATTCTATTTATAAGCAAGCACTGTGTGGTCCTTAAAAGGCTGAACCCTGGAGTACCCTGTGCTGGGCAATTTGCTTTTGCCTTCTCTTTAGGAGCTTTCTGAGGGTAAAATAAGTTTGTTTTTCTTAAGCTTTCTCAGCTTCTTCTGTTGAACTGTCTGAGCAATATAATGTTGAAATCAGGAAGAAAAAGTAAGCTGAGGTTCTTTTTCTTTGAAAGTGAATTTTTCTACTTCTTCAGTACTAACTTCTGGTGAGAGAGAAAATCTTTATTATGTGGGAACTACATGCCAGGCACTGAGCTCAAAGCAGTGCACCAAGTGTTCCAAGTCCTTTGCTCCTGACAACTCATTTAAGCCTCATAATAGTTAGCTGGGCTCTCTTATTCCCCTCATTTAAGAGATGAGGAAACAAGCACGTAGTACTTAAGTAATTTATCCAAAATCACGTAGCACAGTTATTAGGTGGCAAAGCCAGGATTTGAACCCTTTCTGGCTCCAGTGTCAGGAACAATTATTCTGTGCCGCCTCATATATCAGTAGTCAGTGAATAAAATGATGGTTTTTCTGGGGTGTACTTTGTGAATATACATCTAAACCCTCAAAGTGTCTCTTAACTCCCTGGCTCGAGTCCCTTTCAGGTAGTACTGCGGAAGAAATGATGAGGTCGGCTAACCTTCCTTACTGGTGGGTGGTCAGTGTTGCCTTGCGGCCCTGGGGTCTGACGCCCTGGCATCATCTCCGGTTCCTCCTCCCTCTTGCCCACCAGCCTCACTTCCTTCCGCCTTCACCTGCCCGACCACTGCAGCAGGCCAGAGCCGCTCCATCAATCAGACTGGCGCAGAGGCCTCGAGCTGACCCCTCTCCTTACAGGGCCTGCTTTCTCCAGCCCCGGCTCCTGCCAGCGCTGACTTTCTAAATCACAAATCTGATTATATAACTCCCTGCTTAACAACTTCCAATGGCTTCCTATTGCGCGGAGAGCCATGTCCAAACTCATTAGCAGACTGATGCAGATGGTTCCTTGGAATTAGCTGGAGGAATTTGGGCAGGGATGAGTGATGAAACAAATTGTCCCTTATATGCCCCCACAAGTCCAGCAGACTGAGTACTTTTCATTTCTGGAACTTTAAAAGCAAAGGACACATTTGTCAAAGTTTCTCAGAGCAATTAAAGGCTAGAGCAACACAACCTGCTTTGGTGTCTGCTGTTTTCCTTTTGTTGCCCTCGGGGAAGGGTGTGTTCATATATGGGGGACAGGTGCCACCTCAGGATGGAGGGGTATGCATGGCAGCAGAGATAGTGCTCGCCGTTCCTGGGGAGTGTGGCCTGGTCCTGCTATCAGGCCTGGTCTAAGATTCTGTTTAGGTGAAGCAGGGGGGTTGCCTAGAAGGAGTAGCATTTGTGTTCCAGGAATTCACCGTAGCAGGGTGCATATACAATGCCAGACTCTGGAGCCCCAGCTCTCCATCCCAGCTTGCCACTCAGCTCCCAGAGGCCATTGGAACTGGTTCTGCTTCCCGTGGGGCTCACTTGCATAGGCTGATATGGGAGACACGGGGCTTCTTCTCACAGATTTTCAAATTCTTGAGGCCCATTCAAGAAGATGGGGAATTGAATCATTATCAGCTCACATGCTTATGTCTCTTTACAGGACACAATTCAACAGATAATAGGAATCAAGACATGTTTATGATTAGGTCATATTAATCACCAAAAATTTGGGTTTTATTGATACCTGAAATAAAAATAAGCTTGATATTCAGTATAATTTTTTAATAATATTTATTTATTTATTTATTCATTTCATTCATTCATTCATTCATTCATTCATTCGAGATGCAGAGAGAGAGAGAGGCACAGACACAGGCAGAGGGGGAAGCAGGCTCCATGCAAGGATCCTGGGACTCCAGGATCATGACCTGAGCCAAAGGCAGGCTCTAAACCACTGAGCCACCCAGGCATCCCTCAGTATAATTTTTATACCTCTTTCCAACACAAGATAATCATAAATAATAGTCTGTTAAAAGCCAACAACATTCCCTATATACATACAGAGATTCGCCCTTCCTTTTCTTTTTCTGCCAAGGTGAAATAGTTATGCACAGAACATGCCAGAAGTTCATATTTACAGGCTCTTCATGATCTACCTACGTCTTCTCTGCCCACCTTTATTATGGCCATTCTTCCACAGTTACCTTGACATGCAGGCACCATGAACCACTTAGCATTCCCCAAATTTGCTTTCTTTTAAGCCTTGTGTTTTTGCAGGTTCTATTCTCTTCACCTTGATCCTCCCTTTGCCTCCTTTCCACCTGGTGAATTTGTATATACCTTTTAGATTCATGCTCATATTATGTCCTTGTTTGTAAAACCTCTTGAACATCTTCAAGATAGTACAGTAGGTATGCAGTAAAGTTCTTAATACTTCATCAGCAATGATGAGTTATAGAGATGAATTGGAGAAATCTTCTACCGACATAAAGGGTTCATAGTCTTATACCCTATAAGTTAATGGGATACATATTTTTATTTATAGGAGGAGTTTCGAATCAATTAGGCATCTACATAATTCCAACTTCATCTAAATTATCTATTGCCTTTTATTTCCCGATGGATTTTCTTTTTCTTTTTTTTTTAAGTTTTTATTTATTTGAGAGTGAGAACGTGCACACAAGAGCTGCAGGAGGAGCAGAGAGAGTGGGAGAGGGACAAGCAGGAAGCCTGGCATGAGCCCCCATCCCAGGACTTCGAGAACATGGCCTGAGCTAAAGTCAGATGCTTAACCCAGGAGCTGCCCCACACACAATGGATTTTCTAATGTAATGCTAAATGACTAAATCCTGATGCAGAATGATTTGCTAATTTGGACTAATACTTTACGATTCTGCTTCTGAAATTGGCCAGTGCTTCCCTACTATAGCCTAGAGATTGCTAACCTAAAACTCCATTTAAAAGAAGAGACATAGTAGAACAAATACTTGGTAGAACAGCAAAGAATCATATTCACAGAGTTCACCTGGACTTTACAATCATCCAGTTCAGGGATTTTCCAAGTCTTTGGAGCCCTTTGGTACTTTGAATATATTTTGGGATTTCAATAACTATGTTATTGTAGCTAATTAACAAATGACATTTATTGAGGATTTAAGTTTTAGGTGCTAGTCTAATTTATTCATGTTCACTTTTTGTATGGATAGGATTGGTTATGCTAGCAGGGAAGAAAGGGATGCAGAAGGCTGGGGAGCAGGCAATAAAGAATCCTAATGCCTTTTAGAAATACTACAGTGAAGGGACACCTGGGTGGCTCAGTGGTTGAGTGTCTTCCTTCAGCTCAGGGCATGATCCTGGGGTCCGGGGACTGAGTCCCACGTCGAGCTCCCTGCATGGAGCCTGCTTTCCTTCTGCCTGTGTCTCTGCCTCTCTCTGTGTATCTCTCATGAATGGATAAAGAAAACCTTAAAAAAAAAAAAAGTCCTACGGTGAAGGAACCCACTTCCACTCAAAAGAATTCTTAGGGGCCCTGACAACAACTTTTGAAAAGTGCTGGTCTGGAAACAGCACTTTCATAGAAGCACTTCCACAGACATTTCCATAGAATTTCACAGTTAGCAGTTCTCTAGACAATTGACATTATTTTCCAAATAAGCAAAATGTGTGTTCTGATGTCAAATAACTGGTCAGGTAAAGAACTAGAACTGGACCCTGTGTCTGTTGGTTTCTAGTGCAGTCCTCTTTCAACTATATGA